ATATTATAAATAGATACACAGTGATCTTGGACTTACCAGGGCTCACCGTGCCCAGACCTGGGCCCAGCTTCTGCTGAGCTCCTCTCCGGAGCTTTGTCTCTGCCAGTGTCCTCCTGCTTCCCTGTTCACTAGAGAGAATTTGATAAACCACCCCTCCTTTCCGGTTTTCCTCTGCTGTTGGCTTGGCATCTCCCCTTCCTTGTACTTCCCTCTCTTGGGGCCAGCAAGCTGGGGTTAGGAGTGGAGGGTATCTGGGAACAGGGAAGGAGTGATCTTGACTTGTCCCCTTGGTTTGGCCTCTGGCTGCCCTGAAGATGAGATTTGGGCTGACCCATCTGGGAGGAGACCAGGACAGGCCCAAAGGGGTCTGCCCACACGCAGGGGAGTAGATCTGCAGAGTGGCAGCAGGCAGGAGAGGGGGCGTGGGAGCTTTCCTTGCACTGCCTTCCCATCCCCACCGTGATGGCCGATGTGAAATGGCCAGCTTGACTGGATGAAGAGCTGCCTAGGAACCAGAGGCTTCTGGCTGTGTCAGTGATTGGCATGTGGAGCAAAGCGCTGAAGTGGAAGCCCACCCTAAGTGGGGGCAGGACCATCCAAGAGGTTGGAGGCTTGGATGGACAAAAGTTCAAAGAACAGGAAGCAGCAGGCAAGCTCAATTCTTCTTGAACAGCAGGACATCAGACTGCAGCTCCTTCTGTCTTCCAAAGCAGACACTGCCCACTGACTGTCCAGGGAGTTTCCAGGCTTTGGGTCCCAGACTGGGGTGGCATCCTTGGTTCCGTTTGCTCTGAGGCTCCCCCTTCTGAACTGGGCAGTTCCTGGTTCCCCCAGTTCTCCAGCCTGCAGACAGCCACTGGGGGGGCTATCCAGCTTCTGGTTGTGTGAGCCCATCTAATAAATCCTCTTTTTAATATTCATTGTGAATATAATTAATATAATATAATTAAGTGTTATAAATATAGAATCTATAATTAATGATTATAAGTACCTATAAATATGAATTTAGATATGAATATCTGCTGTATTGGGTTCTGTCCCTTTAGAGAACCCTTCCTAATACCCCCATCCTTTTTAATATGAGATTTTTCACCTTTAAGCTTCAGAGATTGAGAAGCATGTCTTTCTCTTGAGAACACAATTCTGAGGTTCATCCTGTCCTGCTCAGCATGGAAGCTCTAACTGAGCAGTCTTCTTCACCCTTTGGAATAAAGAAAGAAAGAAAAAAAAAAAAGCCAAGGATTGCATTTCTCTCCACCACCCCCGCCACCACCATTCTGCTCTATTGACCTTTTGCTTAGCATCTTGCTAATGCCATTTTCACTCTTGGTCGGGCTTTCCTGATGGTAAGGAAGACTTCTTCCCGAAGCCAGAGTGATGAACTAGGGTCATGCATTCACTCGCATTGCAGAAACCACTCACCGGCTCCCACCTCCTGTTGCAAATGCATCTAATCTAATCAGGGCAACAGCAAAACTCGGCGAGTGCCCTTGTTAATCCTGTCACTTACTACCACACCAGGTTTTGAAAAATGCAGTTTAATTAGCAAAATAAAGGAAGTTAATCTTTCTCCATATTATTCACACAAGTAAAAATATACGCCATGGCTGAAGACAAAAATAAATCGCGTGGGGCTGCTACTAACCAAATGCAGGGGTGGGGGTAGGACCAACTGCCATCGCCCTGATTGTAGGGAAGGAAACAAACACGGGGATTTGTTAGTGTTTTATAAAAGCTGTGCAAAGAATCTCCCCTCCCCATAAATATTTCTCACGCACTTAATACCAGCAAGAACAATTTTTAGGCCAAAAGGTGTTCTAATGTATGCTCTAATGTAATGTCCCTCTATTTCAGCTTGTAGGTTTTGTGACCTGCATGAGGGTCTTTAGCAAAGCCGATGCTGTGGATTTTAATAAAAAAAAAATCATAAAAGCCAAGAAGTGGAGTTTTTCCTAACAATTATCTTTTTTTTTTAAGAAATTAATTTCTATCTTCAAAGATGATGACAACAATGAAGAAAAATAGACGTATTTTTTTGGTCTTTATAACTCTAGCCCACCTCTACCCTTTTACATATTCATAAAATGTGTACGGAGCTAATTTTGAATGTGCCCTTTATGACTATGTCACAGTCATCATATCGTCATGTTCCGAAGGCGTAATTAAAGATTTACCTAGATTTATGAGACTTTATCATTATCAATAGGGTTAAGGAATACCAGGGAGACACATTGTTGGAAGGTTTTACTCAGCAGTTTCTTGAGCGATGAGAGTCCTGGTATTACTTTAGTGCTCAAGGAAAAAAAAAAAAAAGACTGTTCGGCACTAATAGATAGCACTTTATTAGAAAGGGACCACCAAAGACCCTTCAGTCAAAACAGCTCCATGCCTGTTACCGCTGCTTCTCAGGAGATGGAAACCAGGAGAAAGCAAAATGTTTTGCTCATCTAAAGGTGAGACAGACACATGAGCTGGTGACGGCAGAGGGGAGGTGACCTGTTACCTTTCTCTTCATGAAGCTGGAGCCCTGTTACAAACCATGGGCCAGTGCACCTTTCACACAATAGGAAGGCCGTGAGTCTCCCTGGACTTTCACTCAGGCCCCTGTGAACCAGGAGCCCCCTGGTCCTCTGCCATCGTCCACTGATTCAGGAAGGACCTCTCCCCCGCCACCCCCGCCAACACCTCTGGTCTCCAACCTGCTGTTCTGTGGCCTTCCTTCCGGTTTTAGAGCCAGGTGAGCTTATAGAAAGCAGGTCTCAGTGGCAATTCCAGCCGTGAGCTTTTTCTGGCTGTATTTGGCTAGTATTTCATTTTCCCATTCTCAGGGCAGTCTCTACTCAGAGCAAGACAAGTCATAGAACGCTATTTCTCATGCAATACATTTTTTTTTTCACAAAGTAAATGAGCAAGCTGGGGCCCCATCGCATGGCACCCTCTCTTCAGGCTGGGTAAAGAAAAAAAAGCATGTGTTGATTAGGTTGTCATTATGACAACAGCTACTCTAGTGGAAACCAGCCGTTTTCCTTCTCTACTGGCCTGTGCAGACAGCACATCCTTCTTCCTAGTTTCTACCTGTATTAATAAGAGTGTTTCAGAGAAGCAGAACCAGTGGCATGCAGATGATAGATAGATAGATAGATAGATAGATAGATAGATAGATGGATGATAGGTGTACATAGGTGATAGATACATGGCTATGCAATAGATACATAGATAATGGAGAAATGGTAAGTATAGATGATACATGCATAGATGATAGACACATGGATCAATGACAGATACATAGATAATAAATAAATTGATGGATCTTAAGGAACTAAAAGGCTGGCAATTTCAGGGTTAACTGGCAGGCTGGAAATTCAGAAAAGGGTCAATGCCATTCAAGTCCAAAGGCAGTTTGCGGACAGAATTCCTTTTTCCCCGGGGGACGTCTATCTTTCCTTAGGTCTTCAGCTGATTGAATGAGGCCCACCCACATTACGGAGGGCCATCTGCTTGACTCAAAGTGTACTGACTCCATTGTTAATCCAATCTAAAAACTACCTTCACAGCAGCATCCAGATGCATGTGAATAAATCCCTGGGTACCATGGCTTTAGGCAAGTTAACACATAAAATTAACCATCACATCACATACTTTTCTAGTCCACGAGCTTTGCTTCACTCATCCTCTATGAATGAGATTCTTACACATGTATTATTTATCTACAAAAGAAACTGACTTTTCATTATCACACCCGACACCTGGTGGCCCTGACATGGTTTGGGTTAAAATAAAAAAAGACTTCTGTCTGCAAAGGCAGGGAAGCGGAGGCGTCAAAGCCAGCTCGTCCTTTCCCTGTGAGGGCTTCCGTGTGTCTGTCTTGTCTTAGAAGGAATGAGGTCCTTGAATGGCGGTGAAGGACGGGGTCAGTCCTCAGACCCTCCCCAGGACCTGGTCTTTACGTGACGGACTGTGCATTCTTGTCTGAGCCACGGGTTCAGAAACGTTGCATGCGCATTTAAAAGAGGAAAGAGTGGAGAGGTGGCCCCCACAGTCCCCCAGGCGGGCTTTGGATGAACCTCGATATGAGGAGCTTAACCGTTCCTGTCTGCATTATTCAATTCTTCCTGGAACAGGAGCTCCTGGGCTTGGATCTGGCCAACAATCCTGAGCACTCTCCATGTTGGCTGGAATGCCCAGCTTTGGTGCGAGAGTGATTATTTGGGAAGGTGTTTACCCAACTTGAACTCCAGCCTGCTCCCAAAGCCTCGGGAAAAGGCAGCTTCGCCGGAGGATCTCGTTATGACTCTGGGCAGAGACTGATGGAGCTCATCCTGGGGAGATGGCCAAGTCCCTCTCCCACACTCGATGCATAATAAAAGTTACTTTATCTTTATTTAGAGCATGAAGCTCTCAAGTGTCCTCTAATCCATACAGTAGCAGCCACGGTCTGCAGGGATAATGACAGACGCTGAATTCAGCTGCAGTGGAGATGCAGTAGAGACTGGAGCTCTGGGAAATCTGTTTTTTCCCCCCAAAAATAGAGTGGCCCCCTCTGCCTAGCAAGTTCAGAAGGTGTCTCATCACTGCTATTTGTTCAGTATCCAACATCCACAGTGAGGTGCTCATATTTTTTTTTCCCGCTTGATGAGATTAATTTTTTAAAAAAGAAAAGAAAAGAAGAAGTCAAGGCCACTTGCTATGGTTTGAATAGGAATCCCAGAAAGGTCCATTCAGTAAAATTCTGTTCCCCAGCCTGTGGCACTAGGGGGAAGTGGTAACTTTGAGAGGTGGAGCCTAGTAGGAGGAAGTGAGATCATTGTGGGAAGTGCCCAGACTTTTCTCTCCCCCTAATGTCCAACCTCTTCCTCTTTTCTCTTTTGGCTTCCTGGCCACTAGAAGGTGAGGGCTTCCTCTGCCACCTACTCTCACCATGTTGTAGTGCCTCCCCACAGTCCCAAGAGTAACAGATCAACTGACCATGGATTGAAGCCTGTGAAACCGCGTGCCAAAGTAAACCTTTCCTCTTTTTAAGTTAATTTATCTCAAGTACTTGTTACAGTAATGGAGAACTGACTAAGATTGCACTTCAAGAGTTCCCTGGCCTGGGACTGTCTCTGTCTCTCCACCTCCCCACATCCTTTTCCTTACTGCATTGCTCCTGGAGGTCTGGAGTGCACCAACAAAACACAAAGTCTGCTGGGGCCGGTACAGGTGCTTGCACGCCTGCTTTCTGAAAGCTGACATGGGTCTAACTTCTTAGTGTCCCCTGGCTCCCGGTTCTTTCTCCCCAACCCCCACAGAGGAGTCCCTCTCTTCTCTGACCCAACCACAGATCCCAGCCTCAGCAGAGGAATTTTAAAGGAAAACTCTCAGACAGAAAGAAAATATCTCTCCCTGCCCAGAAGCGTACAGCTTCCCAACACAAATGACATGACCCCGCAATATCACTGGGGTCTCCAACACACAGTCTATCCTGTTCCCCTTGGCTGAAGTAAGAAAATGCCTTGAAGTCACAAAATGCTGGGTGGGTTTCCTCCTTGTAATCACTCTAAATCATGACACGTTTCTTATTCTTAGAACTAGCCACTGCACCAGGAAGATAAACCAGGGCAAGACGAGAAAACACAGTGCTGTCCTGATAAACGGCTCTAAATCCCTCCTATCCAGGTGAGTTAAAAACCTCAGCATCAAACCCGAGAGCCTCGTGTCTTACCATGCCATCTCTCCCCCTAATGAGCTCCGGGAAGGAACCACCTGTACTTACTGCTCTACCAAGTGGGTCATTATAGACATTCTGCATATAGTGAAATTAGCAGTGAGTTGGCAAGACAGTGACACAGCTCACCTTATTTTTTAAATGGCTTACCTTTATCAGCCTATTGAGCAGGCTTTGGTAGTATATATAGAATTACATGCCAGCCCCAGTGGGAACCTCTGCCGAGGGGGAACGACCAGATAAAGTGACAGGCCCAAGTGGCAGGAAAAAGTCCTGACCACAGTTATCATGGAAGCAACAGAAATTTCTGTCAAGGCTTCCACCTCTCACTTCCAATATCGCTCACGTAGGAGAGAAGGAACATCTGTGGCAGGCCCCGGCAATATGTTTTAGCAACATTTTTGGGACCAAAATTAACATTAACAGTAAGACAGGTTTGTGTTTCTCTGTATTTTCACTTATTAACACAACAATCCCAAGGTGATTAGCAATTCTGAGCTATGTTGGGCTGTGGGTTTCCATGTGCCGCATAGAGAGGTAGCACAAACATCCTCACTTTTTAGCTCAGAGTTTGGGCTTGGGGAAATTGCAGGAAACCAAATAACTTTGAAAAGCTTGGATGTTTTTCAGTCTATGTTTGGATGTGAGGAAATGTGCACCAGAGAAAACAGAAATCTCATAATGCCACTGTGTTGATGCTTCATCAATATTTGCTAAACGCCGATTATGGGTCAGGCTCCATGGAGTACATTTGCTGTCTAGGACAAGAAGACAAAGAGTCTCCATCCATCCATCCATCCATCCATCCATCCACTCATCTATCCATCTATCTATCCATCCATCCATCCATCCATCCACCCATCATCCATCACCACCAATTTAGGAATTCTTAAGTGACAGGTACTCTATTAAACACTGCTAACCTCTGAGCACCAGCAACCATCAGACATCAAAGTTAGCTAAAAGAGTTCACAGAGGGGTAAGGAAGAAAGACTCATACATAATTATAACATGCATCATGAGGATGAGGGGCTCTGCCAAACTCTGCATTTTGGGGGGTGTTCCGAGGAAGCAGAGGCCAACTCTGGCATTTGATTTCCATGTACATTCTTTCAAATTTCCAATAATCTCTACTGCCCTATCTTATTGGGCTGGTATGAAGTTTGAAAGTCCTTAGAATGGTGAGTCACCATGTAGGAGCTGTCTTCACCACTGCCACCACCACCGTCATCATCATCATCACCTTCTTCACCACCCAGATTCTGTTTTCCTCTCCACATGTACATTCCTCTAGTAGATGGGCTTCTCTACATTCCCCAATATTTGTTAAATACTTATTGTGGGTCAGGATCCATGGAGAGCAGGTGTGAGACCTGGATCTTGTGGTGTAGGACAGGAAGTGAAAGACTCTCCATCCATCCATCCACCCATCCATCCACCCATCCATCCATCCATCCATCCATCCATTACTACCAACAGGACCCCAGGAAGCAGACCCATAGGGACTTCATCCATAGGCTCTTGGCTCTCTGACTTCCAGATGGGAACAGCCAATGTGCTATCTGTCCAACAGAAGGAGAGCAGATGGAAGTCATGGTATTTATTTCCCTGTTGTTTTTCTCAACAGGGTAAACAGGTCAGCAGAGGCTTCATTCTTCTGCTGAAGGTCACAAGCTAATGTCACGTAGCCCTTTCTCAGAGCTACCGCATTCTCTGGGTTCTGGTAATTACTCCTTCCCCAGACCTGGAGGCCACAGGGTGATAATTAATGACTTCCTTCTGCCGTTAGCCCCGGGGATGCTTCATCAGCCCCTACTTTCCTACACCTATGATGAAACTCTCCAATCACTTGTGTCTACCCTGGATTTCTTTAGAGCCATCTCTTGTCAGAGCTATCCAACCATTGCGCTCACCCTACCACCACCACACCACCACTACCACCACCACCACCACCATCATCATCATCATCAATATCATGGTGGTCTTCTGATGGGTCCTCAGCCACTTTACTTCCTGATCTCCATCACCACCTTTCCCAGACACACAGGTGCACATTTAATTACCAGACTTTCAGCTACTGGCACCCAAAGCTCAAGCGTATGATGTTTTCATCCTCTGAGACTCAGCTCAAGCATTGCTTACTATGGAAGACGTCACTCATCGGTCCTTCCTCCAAGCTCCACGCCCCCCCCAAGTCCAGAGGACAGCTTCCCATGGGCATCTCCCATCCTGGAACACAGTCTCCATCTGCACGCATTGCCCTGTGAGTTCTTGCAATGAGAGATGGGCACCGACCGTGGCACCTTCTTTGCCTTGGCATTTAATGCAGAATGTTCTTGATCTGTCCTTGTGGCAAGCAGGGGACACATGTCTTACCAAGTCACCTCTGCCCCTAATGAGGAACACAACTATGTCTTGCTAAGAATGTTATATTTTTGTCCCCCACCCCACCCCCCCTGCAATGTTGCTAAAACGTTGCTGGTCTGGCCAGCAAAGATACCCATGAGAGATATTGAAGGTGAGATGAGGAACAAATGGCATTTGCCCTGGTACTATGATCATGCCAGCTAGGGCTAGGGCTAGTGACCAGGTGAGACTGACAGGTTGCCCTGCAAAATTCTACAACTGTCCAAGAAGGATTGGGAAACACGTGTCCAATTAAATAACAACAATGGCAGCAGCAACAGCAACAAAACCACTCCTGTTTATCCTCCGTGGTGCCTCCTGAGAAGCTGGCATAATAAGGAGATGGAGGCAGGAGGAGGCTGGAACCCCATCCCCGTTAGACTCCAGTGTCCCCCGCTTTGAGCCGCCAGAGTTCAGTCTAGGGTGTGTTATTATGAAGGTAGCTGAGGAGGAATCCTGAAGGCAGACTGCAGGAGCCTCTGAATTTTAGTCTCATTATCGTTGTGAACCTCAGATTCTGTTGCAGTTCTATCGCCACCTACCCTCCATAGCAAAGGCTGCAAGATGGGCCAGCCATCGTACCCGACCTTGGGCTGCCATGAGCACTAAATGAGAAGATCTCTTCCTTGAGATCCCAAGTTATTATATGATAACTTTAATAGGCAGAAAAATGAAAAGTATTAGACTCTGAAGTTTTCCCTATCCCCAGGACCGAAAAGATCACCTTATATGGAAAAACAGAGTGTATATTACCCAGTAGGGAAAAATCTGTGTAGATTAGGGATCTTTGGAGGAAGAACTTATCCTAGATAATCCAGATGGGCTCTTAAGTGTGTTCGCATGCATCACGATAAGAGAGCAGCAGAGGGAGAGAAGACACAAAGATGCCCAGAAGTGAAGGCCAAAATACAGAGCAGAGAGTGGAGGGATGAAGGGCAGATGTCTATTTTGCACAACCATAACAAAACACCTGAGGATGGGCAACTTCACAAAGAAAGGAGGTGGATCGTGGCTCACAGTTCTGGAGATCCACAACTAAGGGGCCACATCTAACGATGACCTTCTTGCTGGCAGTGTCCCAAAGTGATCCAGGGCACCACGTGGCAAGAGACAGAGAACATATGTGTGTCTATGTTCTTTGGTATCTCTCTTCGGATAAAAATTACCAGAATCCAATTATGGGGATACCACCTGATAACCTTATCGAATTCCAATTCCTCTCCGGAGGCCCTAACTTTAAACAGCAGAGTCAGAACCATGTCTCACCATGGAAGGGGGGAGGAGTTGGGGAGAGTGTCGCTCAGTGGTGGAGGGCGTGCTCAGCCTGCATGAGGCTCCCGATTCAGTCCCTAACACACCACACACACACACACACACACACACACACACACACACATCACAATGGAGATTCGACACATGGGCCTTAGAGACACACAGAAACCACATGCAGACCGTGGCGGGCAGCTCCAGGCCCATGAACACCAAAGGTTCCGGCAACCCCTAGAGCCTGGAAGAAGCAGGGAATGAATGCTCCCTTGGAGCCCCTGAAGGGAGAGGAACCTCTGGATAACTGGACTTCAAGACCTCCGGCCTCTAAATCAGCCAGTGAATGAATTTCTCCAGTTCTAAACCACCACGTTGGCTGTGATTCGTTATGGCAGCACCAGGAGACCACTAGAATAGCCCTGGGAATGCCACCCATGTTTAAATTATGACCTGTCTGACGGAGCCCTCCCCAGTGCTGGGGTTTATGGAGAGGAGCACGTTAAGATGGACACCCGGACCTCGTCCTGGGGAAGCCAAGGATCCCCTGGGCAGCAGCCCTGGAGGAGCTGGGGGCTGACTCATGACCTCTACGGGACTCCTTTTAGGGACAAGTCTGTGCTCTTGGGATTGCCCTGGCACCCTGTTACCTCCCCATAAGAGGACGCCATATTTTTGCAGCACAAAGTGCACCAGCCTTGCTGGTCTCCAAATCCCAGCAAGCGGACGGCCTTGGCTTCCAGATACATGTGGGAGGAGATGTCCCTCCTCTACCGCAGGGGCCAACGAGGCCCTTCCACAGTGTTCTGGACAGTGCCTTCTACTCCCCTGGACGTCCACATCCAGGAGCAGCCCACAGATGCACACTGTGGTCCCGGCACTTTCTGACCCACCTTGTCCAGGATGCCAATGGAGACGTTATAGTGGGGTGATGGTGATCCTCCCTGACTTGTGGAAAGCACTGATCATTCACACGCTTTGGAACCAGGTCTGGGATGAGAGGCACGGTCTTGTCTTGTGTGAAGTGTCCCTTGCTTGGTTTGGTGCTGTGGCCATCAGAAAATGCTAAACTAAACAGCAGCAGGTGCAGAGTGGCCATGGAGGGTGTCTGGGCCTTGAGAGGGGGCTTCCTGGGGATGAGGGAGCTCTGGGTTCAGGGTACAAAGGTACAGATGCAGTGTTGGTTTTGAATGGAGGAAAGCTGTCAGGCACACTGCGGAGGCTGCTGGGGTACCTGTCTCGGAAGGCACCATGTCCCTGAGATAGGGGCCCGTCGCCCTAG